GAGGGGCTAGATGGTCCCGGCCCTGAGAGCCCTCACAGTCAAGTAGTGGAGACAGACAAGCAGATCGCCAACAACAGTTAGGTGTGCCAGGCAGGAGGAGGTGCGGGGAACTGTGGAAACCACCTTCTTTGGCTAGAACCCAATGATCAGTTTTGAGAAAAGCCACGACACATTATGGGACGGGTGGGGGGAAATGAGTCATAAAATGTAAACAGGAGCCAAATAGAGTTCAGCTTTTATCCTAAGGTCAATGCGGAGCAACCGAACAGCTTTATTTTTTATTTACTTAACACTAAGTCTATATAACAGCTCGTCTGGCAGAGGAGAGAGCAGCAGAATAGTGTTCTCTTCTGTTGCAACTTCAAATTGTGTCAGACAGTTTAGCAACTGAACTTTTTTTTTTAATCCTTACCCCCGGGGCACTTTTCCCAGGACTTCACAGAGGAAGGAAGAGAGAGAGGAAGGTGTTAGGGTGGTCACTGAGGCGGGCTGTGGAAGGAATCACAAAGAGAAGAAAGTGTAGAGGGTAAAGTTTTTATTGACTCTCCAAGAAAGGAGAGGGGCACAGAGTAGGGAGAAACGCCAGCACTGAGGGGTGGGGGCTTTGAGCTTTTATTGGACTATAATTGGATTAAAAAGGTGTGTCGGGGGGAGGCCCCGAGGCTGATGGGATGTTGTAACAGGGGCTGCAGTTTGTTCCAAGGCTGTAGGAAAGGTTAGTTCTGTTCTTTCTTCCAGTGGTTTCCAGTCTTGGGGACAGAGGCTCAGAAGAGTGAAATGGCAGCGTGTTTAACAAGGTCATAGGCCTGTTCAGCAAAGGGTGCCACAAAGCAAATGGCGCTAGCTTTGTCCTTTCAGGACCAAGAGAGAGAGACACCTACGTGACAGAAAAGTACTGATCGGTTGCCCAGACCGGGGATCGAACCCGCTACCCTTCAGTTGTGGATGACACTCCGACCAACTGAGCCATACCAGCCAGGGCAGCGGTTGGGCAGGTTTAAGCAGAGGAATAATTAGATTAGATTTTTAGATTTTTGTTCTTTAAAGATCATTCTGCCTATGGGAAGAACTGAGTGGAGGAGGCAAGACCAGAGGTAGAAAGGCCAGTTAGGAATCTGCTGTACATAGTTCAGGTGATAAATAAATGCTTGGTTAGGAGGGGCACACAGGGAGTTTAGAATGTATTGGTATACTTGCATTTCTTTCCCTGGGTGAGGTATAAAAGTATTTTATCCCTCACATCTTACATCACATTACACAAATTCAGCTCTTGCTCCCTGCCCAGATGGGAATAAACCTCTAACTCCCCTCCACTCCCACTTTCCTTATTTAACCTCAGGTCAGTGCTGCCCTGCCCCCCACCCCCCCACCCCCCTGCAGCTTCTGACTTGGCTGCGGCCCACCTCCAGCTGGAAGCCCTCTAGCCAGTCTCAAGTACTCCTGCTTCCCAGTTTTCACTCATATATTTCCTTTGCTTTGTGTTGAATTTATTCATATACCGTGTGTGCCTCCTCCCCTTTGCTAATTCACAGCCTACTTGCCTTTCAAAAATCAGCTCAAATTCCAATCCACTTCACTTCAGTTGAACCCTTTTTTCTGAGGGCTTATTACCTGCTTGTCTTGGTTTGGGGCCCCGTGGGTACTGCTGCACAGAGCCGCCGATTCCAGCCCTGGGAGCTAGCTCACCGCTGTCTGGCTGAGTCCCACACACAGACCACGTACTCACTGCGAGGGAAGGGCGGTGACAGAGGTCAGCAAAGGGAGCTATGGCAGCACAGAGTGCGGGGACCCCTGCCCTGCTTGTGAAACACTTAGAATAGAATGTTCCCCTGGATTGCACACTGAGTCACGCCCTACCAGAACACACTGCTCCGTCCAGGGGAGCTCTGATGGAACTGTGGCAGTCATTAATCAGGCGTTTGAAACAGGGGTCCAGGAACTGCCCCGACTTCTTCTAAGTTAGCTTTTCAGATTGAAAACCAAGCCACAAACCCCAGAGACAAACTCAATACCTGGTTGGCAGAGTCCCTTTCTGCAGCTCGTAATAAGTGCTGCACAATCCCAGAACACTTCACTTTATTGCTGTTGACCCAGACATCAGTGTTCCAGAAAAAGAGAAGCCTGCTAACCTACACCCTGACTGGTTAACCCCAGCAACTTCCGTGTTCCCAAGCCATAAAAACCCCTAAGCTCCACATTTGGGGTGCAGAACCTGGGGCCCTATCTTGGTGTCCTTGCCCTCTGCAGAGCCATAATAAATCTGCCTTCTCCTTTATCAGTGACCCTGGTCTAAATTCTTTTATATCAGGAGACAAGAACTCAAACTTGTTGGTAACACTTGTTCGGTGTGGTGGGGTTGGGGGGTCAGGCAGGAAAGGCTTTGTGGAAGGGATGATGCTTGAGTTGAGGGTTACAGTTGTCTGCAAAGCAGAGAGGTGTCAAGGAGAGAGCTGCAGGCAGAGTCCCCTCCATGCTGTTTGTTGTGCTACCCTCGTGACAGCTGGAAATCCCACCTTTCACTACTCTGGGTGGGCTAGTGTCCCCATTTCTAGGATATCATATTAATTCTGGATCAGCTCCTTGGAAACTGTGCATAGGGTGATCAGAAAGGTGAGGGGGACCAAAAACTGGCCATACAAGGAACAGTAGCTGAATTACGTATATTTAGACTGAGGGGATTTTTTTTTTTTAAGTGAAAAGAAAATGGACCTTTGTGTAATACTGAGTTTCCAAGTGCAACAGAAGGGTAGATGCTGCTGGAGGTAGACTAAATTTTTTCCAACATTTGAATCCCCCATCAGGTGTATGCCACCCTGTCTGCACATAACTTCCAGTTGGTAAGTTAATTCTCTCCATGCCTTGCTGCCAGGGTAACTGCAGTGGCCCACCTCCCACTGCCATCCAGAAGGACGTCCTTCACTATCAACCTCTAGCTCCAGCTCGGAGGCAGGCAGGTGACAACAGACCAGCTAACTGGGCCTTCCCTCCAGGTACTCTGAATCCAAAGTCTGGAGGAACAAAGGTGATTTACCTGGGGGTGCAGGGGCAGGGAGAAAGCTGTCCTGGACAGGCTGTTCCAACAATGCCATGTTTGCTGTGTCTGTTTTCCTACTTACTAGCCTTTTGGAGTACCCTTGGTACCTGTGCATTTCCAAGCCAATAAATATTTATAAAATGCATGAATGAAGCACAGGGATAAAGGTCAAAGGCTAATTTAAAGCAAATTACATGCAAGGCTGGAATATTTAATGATCAGAACCAGAGGAAAAGAGAGGGAAATAAAGACAAGCAGGAGAATGATCCCATCACTAAAATAAACCAGAAAGTGCTAATATAGGGAGGGAAGGAAGAATGGCGAATAAAGTTTTGTTGTGATCCCTCCTCCAAGACATCCCCATTTGTGCGCACATCTCCTCTTTTCCTTTGGGAGTCATAAAAGTTCTTTTATTTTTGGTGAGTTAGCTTCCTGGTCTCTGTTTAGATGGGCCTCAGGCCAGTGGCCTTGCCTTGCCCTCAGAGACTGTAAGGACCTTGTCAAATAGCAGCACACCCAGTGGCAGCAGGAATCAAAGATGACTTGGCGGCTTCGAACCAGGGTACAAAGGCACTAAGAAAAGGACACGGGTAGGGATGATCCTGAGGCAGCAAGAAGTAATGCCTGGATGACCTGTGGACTAATGGGTTTATAAAGCTCTGGAGCTGGTGCTATCACTACCGCATGCTTCTCACGTGCAACTCTGTGCATATGCACAACCAGGAAGTGTTTTTCTTCTGCAGGCAGAAACATGAACTCATTCATTCAGTATTTACTAGGCACCTGCTCTGTCCCATGCACTGTTCTAGGCAGCATTAAAGTAGTGAGAAAGCTACACTCATGGAGACCACGGAGACACATAATACTGTTACTGGACAGGGTCTGGCCCTGAGTGCATCTGCCTTTAGGGCCAGCTGCAGTGTCTGGGTTCTTGATTTCATACAGGAAAGATTTCACAGCATGAGTCCGCTGACTGGGAGGGTATGTTTAGTAAAGCTGGGGACAGTAGAACAAGGAAGGGCTCAGTGTGGAAAAAGCAACAAGAGAACCTAGGGTGGGCTGCCTTAGCTCCCTGGGAAGTCAGAGAAAAGGGGGCCTTGGGGACAAGTTCAGGGCATTAACCTGGGATATAAGCTCCCAGCCTGTCCACCCCACAGGCCGCCCAGGATGGCTATGAATGCAGCCCAACACGAAATCGTAAATTTACTTAAGACCTTTTTTTGTTCATCAGTTTTCATTAGTGTTTGTATATTTAATGTGTGGCCCAAAACAACTCTTCTTCTTCCAATGTGGCCCAGAGAGGCCAAAAGGTGGGATGCCCCTGCTAGAGTTTAGGAGACAGGTGCCTGTGAAGAAAGAAGGGGGCTGCTCCCCAGAAAGAGAGCGCAGGAGCTGCGTTCTTTGTCTTGAGGTTTTTCTCTCTTGCAGGCAGGAACCTTAGGGGGGGGCCTCAGGGTGGTTTCAGTAGCACATTCATCAGGGCTCCAGGTGTGCCCTTTCAGGGGCATGGTCTGCACTGATTGGGCAGTGGCAGGGCAGGGGGTCTTTAGTCACTGCAGTTAGTTCTGGAGTCACCCCAGTGGTTTTGCTGCTTTTCTGGGCCTGGAGCTGAAACACAACTGAGGCCAGATGTTATCTCTGGGGAGGCAACCTTTGTCTCTGGCTGTAAATTGCTCTGCCAGTTTGTTCACTGTCTGTCTCAGTTTCTCTGTTCTACTTGCCAGAGCATGTCCCTGTCTCAATGCTACTTAATTTATTTGTCCACTTGTTTGTATGTGATGAACAACAATATTATGTTAACAGATTCTAAGATGGACAGACAAATTAGTCAACTGAAAGAGAGAAAAAAAAACAAGATGGACAGAACTTGAATACAAACTCTTCTGGGACTTTTGATGAACCAATAAAAAAATATTGACTGAAAAATGAGCTACAATATTTATTTAGGCTCAATGTAGATTCTAGGGTATGCTACACATACATTTCAAAAACTATTCGGTTTGGATAGTAAACTTTATGAACTACACAATGGCTAAGATATAAAAATTACACAGAAATTCATGCTTATGAAGAGACCTGTTTATTACTGATAACATTTCATTTGGCTAAAACCACAAGATATCCACACACAGATACTTAAAGTGCAAATTCTCACAGGCAGTATTTATAATACACCCTGGTGTTTTCTTAGGGAAAAATGGGAAGATATTGACAGAAACTGTTAAAACAAGGGCACAAATTTGAATTGCTGCTGCACAGTCAGGAAAACAAATTAATTCTTAACTGCATACATTTTCTCTGGCATGTTCAATAATGTACACAAAGAGTTTATTTTAGCCTATAAGAAGAAGGCCTCACCACGGATAGATACAGATCCTTGCTTGAGTGGCTCCTGTAAGATATACGCTGAATCATAACGCTGGACAACAATGTACCACATGGTATCAAGTTAGTTATGACTCACTTGAAAGGTAGCACTAGGAGGCTCAAAATGGCACTTATATTAGTGATGTTAAGTCTTCGTAGACACTTTGTTAGCCTCTTGGCCAACACCTCGCTTTGAGTGTAAAATACTAGGTGTTATACACAATTTCCAAATAGAAAATTTCTTTCTCCAAAGAAACCGAATATTTAAGGGTGTGTGTGCTTGATAAACATTACTTATTTTAAATTTCAGTAATGAGAATTGCTTTAAAAGCTGAATTAGAAAATTATGTTTTTGATTGTTCTTAAATGCTTTGCTTCTTTAAAATAAAATCCCTTAATTACTATTATCATCAATCAAGCACTCTGTACCAGCACTCTGTACCACACTATACTAGGTGGGTGGATATGAGAACATAATAAAGGGAGCTGACAGTCAAGAAGGATCTCGGTCAAGGAATGCCAACAAATTAACGAGAACAAACCAGCCAACACCTCAGCTATATTATAAGGTTCATTGGTAACATAACAGTTTCAGATCAGTTTAAACTGGCATTCATACTTTCAAAGGGCAGCTCCTAAAGGGCAGGGAATATCCCAGTTATGTTCTATGTTTCTGTTTCTTGCCCTGGAGTCAGGGTGTGTGCGGCCAGGGACCTGCAGAGATTGGAAGGGGCTGGGGGAGAAAACGGAGGCCCGTGATGAACACGGTGCTACTTTCGGGCAGCACCCATTTTGGTGGATATTGAAGGAATCATTTTTATATCAACACAGTCTTACTGTGGAGAACGCAAACTTCACTCACACTGTTGAGACGTCACATGACATTTCATGAGTGGCAGGTGCGCCTGACTTTGCTCTCAGGCCCCTCCCCCTACACATGCTGCTTTGGGGTCATGCTGGGGGAAAAATTTGAGAAGCAAACTTTGGTTATGTCACTTTGCCCTTATCTTGGTTGCTTCACTCATTCTTTTATGTTCTCTTTTTTAAATACATAGTCTTTAATTAATAAAGAGAAAAGATGGCTTAATGGATAGCACAGGATGATGAACATGTTAAAGCAACCACAGGCGAATGCTAACTGTTTACAACTAGCACTGAAGTCCCACTGTGTACTGAGACAATAGGAGTTCTCTTCTTTCTACTCAGACTCCTTCTGGCTATGGTAAGATGCTCTGAGGCACAAATACAAAAAAATATTTCCTCAAATCTTGTGCTTTGGTTGCCCAAAGTACAAGGAAACTGAAAAGAAAATGCTAGATCAACTGACCATTCATTTGGGTTAGTACGATTCTCTCCTCATCAGTTTTTAGAGCAATCTTAGAAAACAAATGAATTGTAAAAGGCCATAATAAATTAACACATAGTATCCAGACAGACTACACAAAGTTATGAAATAGATTTAAAATTACTTCTTACACTGTCTTATTCTCACAATAACAAAATACCCAAAAGTCCACAAACCAACTTAGTTTATGAATAAGCTTAAAGCATCCTGGAGGATACAGTTAGGGCTGATCAGTGAGGTAATAGGGCAATAGCATTTCACAGTAACAAAATGTGGGAGGGCACATAGGGAAAGAGGGAGGTAGAGAAAAAAGGGCATGGAATTAAATGTATCTAAGCTGAATTTGGACTTTTCAAGCATCATGAACGACAATGGAAAAGACCTGAACGAAAAACCAATAGCAGCAGCTCAAGAACAGCTTCTCCATTAAACTCCAGCTGAGCAACCTTTTCAGGAAACAGGAGTTTGAGTTCCTATATGAAGATATTCCAAAGTATCCAATTTCTCAGAAAACTCTACAGAAGTTATTATATCCAAATAACAATAGTCTATATTTAAAACAAACCCCTCAAATATCCTATGATGCTATACATTCTTCAAGATGAACAACGCTGTGTTCAAGTCTCAATTTACCAGATTAAATTAAAAATAACACCTAAGCAGGTCTTCACTCACCCCATTCACGCATCTACCAAAACCCACCCCCCCCCCAAAAAAAAACCACCTCTCCTGTGAGCTAAATTCCTACAGATACTGAGTGAGATTCAAATGTGACTTCCAGTGATCTTTATGACATCTTTGCTTCAACCTGAGTTTTAAAGAAAAGGTTTAGAAGAGATTTATAAAAGCCATTTAGTATATCCTGTACTGTTTAAATTTTTTATTCTCTTGAAAATAAAGAACTCAAAAAGAAGGCTTCATAATGATTCCTGCCCAAGTTTTTAAATCTTAAACTACACATGCTGCCTTTTTTCTTTTTAAAGTTCCTCATCCCCCCCTATTTTATCCTTGCCAGAGACGGAGGACAGTTTTATCATATTACTTCTTAATTTAAGTCATTCAATAAATGACTTAATAACTTCAGATTAATTAAACTATCTCAAGAGCTTTCTCCTCTCCAGAGTTAAATAATCTTAATTTTTTAACTTTTCTTTACTCAGAGGTTTTATTTTTCAATCTATACGTTATTCCTTTTCATTTGGGCTATATCCCCTACCCAGTCCCATAGGATCCTAAGAAACAACAACATCTCCGAAACTGAATCAGTAAGAGGGGCACTTTTTCTCACGTTTTACCACTTGGCCTCCTCAGTGGTCACTAATAAAAGACAACAAAAGGTTCCCCAATCACTCATCATCGCAACAAATAAACACAAGTAAACCACTTACCCACAGTTTATTATTTTTAGGGTGATAAATTTGCCCTTGACAAAGAAGCACTTCCCTGCCACCTTACTGACCTTTCCATTGTTTGCTTATTTCTACTGTTTATTTCCAGCCTACACTTTAATCTGGCCCCACTAATTCTTTCCTTTGCCCCAGAGCTCTCGAGAGTCCCAGTTCTGATCTGCACATTCAGTGAGAATGCACCAATTTCCATGCTATTGCTCATAACGAAAAAAATAAACACTGCACAGCCCCAGGCTCATACCCACTGGCCAGCACGTCTGTTTGTCCTGGTTGGCTCGGGCTCCTGCATTATCCTGTCGGGCAAGTGTCCCACCCACTGTATGGAGGTCATGTTAGATATCGCACTCAGCCAGACTTGAGAGCTTGGCCAGAATTAAATAATTCCCTCAATCTATACACTATAGGAACACTAATTTTGTTAATTTTAACTTTGGATTTTTCAATTTTCGAGATAAGAATCCAAGCTTTAATAGCTTTTCACCTTGATTAAGACAACTTAGATGTTGCATTATATTAAAGCTCTCCAATAAAACTGTTCTCTTTATAATAATAGAATGACAATCATAACATGGCTTTAGGGATTACAAATGGGCTATTGTATCATTTTAGCTCCACTTTGTCCTTCAGTCAATGGAAAACAGACACGGAAACCAAATATACATATTTTTCACACATATAGCATTGCTCATACCACTTTGTAGGATATAGGCCATTTCCTAAATTACAGTCTACATTCCTAAAAGCAAATAAAGCAAAAAAATTCTACACATTTCTCCCAGTGCAAAGCCTTTGAAAACACATTCATTTAGAAATACAGTGCTCTACATTTAGCTAGCTAGCTGTCTATTATCTACAGTCACACAAGACCCCTCTATAAGAAAGGAACAAATGAACAATAGTGGCAATACAATAATTTGAAAATTATATATGGATTATGTGGGTTTATCCAAATGTTAGCCGATAGCTACAACAAACTAAACCATGATTTAATAAGTATATCAATCAGTTCAAATTTTGTATCACCATTTTTTTAGGAAACATTTTGGGAAATACATTTTCACCAGTTATCGTCCGCAGGCAATTTGTTCAGATAACTATGCTCAAGGCCTTGTTATTGTTACCTCTTCACTGTACCACGTGTGTGTAAGTGTCCTGCGAGCTATACGCTCAACAGGATGCACTTCAAGGAGACTGAACAGAGCTCCTCTGCTGTTCTCTTTAGAAGACTGCAGAATCGACCAGTCCCTTCCAGTTTAGTAGTTATTCCTGTGATCGGAGATTCTATGGAAGCCAGCAAGATAGTAGGATAAACTGGACGGTAGTTTTAGTGTTTCGTAATATCTGAATGTTTTATTTCTTAGTAAAATTAGCATTACTTCATCTCATAAAGGAATAAATCCACTTACAAAAATTAATTCAGAAGTTAGGCTTTTCAGTACATTCAGAGCTCCTGTCTCAGCTCAGATTTTTTCTTTACTCAAAGGCTGTGATAACTGAACCCTTAATTCTAACATGAAGATGCCTAACTACAGTTACACGGAGCCTACTTTTATTAAGATTTTTATATACATTCACAAGATTTTAAAGTCAGCAAACCTTTTTAATACAGAGGGAAAGCACCCATATAGTTTGGAAGATTTTCCTTAACTGTCTGAGAATGAACTGATGAAATGCTCTTCAGTGCAGGAACACTGCTTCAGCTCACACCATCCCCTGAGAAGGCACTGAGAAATCTGACAAGAACAAAGCTTCTAGGAGTGTTGCCACTATTGTTTTATGTTCAGCACACACTGGGATTGCAAACACATACGACAAATTTACACTGCACCAACAGCACCTGACACAGAAGAGCTATGAACCACATTTGTAACATCTGTTCTGAGCTAGAAATGCTAACTACCTTATTTCAAATACTCTAATTTGTAAGTCAATACCTATGATGTAACATGGACACTTTCCCACAGTGTTGAGAGTAAGTGCTGTTTTCTTGCCAATTTTATGAGATAATTTCTTTAACTAATTCTATAATTATATAACTGCCTATTTAAAAAATCCATGCTATACACAATCACAAGAACATGGAACTAAGCTTACTTAATCACACTCGAACAAGGAAACTCACTTTTGCACTGTTTTGTTTCTGTTAAAGGAAAAATGTGTTATTATAATACTTTTAATGTAATACTTTTGTTCAAGAATATGAAAAAACTTGAATCATTTTCTCTCCAGACCATTTCATGTCAAAGTTACACCATTTGTTTAATCAGCTGACCAAAAAGAAAGAAAAGAAAAGTGAACAGACACTCAGCCAGATGAGGGAGAGGGAGAAGCTAACTCGAGTTCTGCAGGCGGAGCTCCCGGTTGTCCGTCTGTCCGCCAGCACAGAGGATCCAGGAACGGCGGACCCGTGTCCACTAGACAGAACGCCAGATCAGGCCATTTTTACTGGGCTCAAGAAAATTCTCAATCAAAGCTTCAATGAGTTTCTTCAATTCCTCTTCTAGTAAGGTGGTGTCACTAAGCAAAAAGATGAAGAGTTTTAAAAGTCTTGATTTCAGAGCCTTAAAATGTTAATTGTTATAACTTTTTTAAAATATATTTTATTGATTATGCTGTTACAGTTGTCCCATTTCCCCCCTTCTCTCCCCTCCACCCTGTACCCCCTCTCCCACCCACGTTCCCCCCCTTTAGTTCATGTCCATGTGTCATACTTATGAGTTCTTTAGCTTCTACATTTCCCGTACTATTCTTGCCCTCCCCCTGTCTATTTTCTACCTACATTCTATGCTACTTATTCTCTATACCTTTTCCCCCCTCTCCTCCTCCCACCCCCCCCTGCTGCTAGCCCTCCATGTGCCCTCCATTTCTGTGGTTCTGTTCCTGTTCTAGTTGTTTACTTAGTTTCTTTTGGTTTTGCTTTAGGTGTGGTTGTTAATAATTGTGAGTTTGCTATCCTTTTACTTTATATGTCTTTTCTTTATCTTCTTTTCTTAGATAAGTCCCTTTAGCATTTCATAAAATAAGGGCTTGGTGATGATGAACTCCTTTAACTTGACCTTATCTGAGAAGCACTTTATCTGCCCTTCCATTCTAAATGAGAGCTTTGCTGGATAGAGCAATCTGGGATGTAGGTCCTTGTCTTTCATGACTTGGAATATTTCTTTCCAGCCCCTTCTTGCCTGTAAGGTCTCTTTGGAGAAATCAGCTGACAGTCTGATGGGAACTCCTTTGTAGGTAACTGTCCCCTTATCTCTTGCTGCTTCTAGGATTCTCTCCTTCGTTTTTACCTTGGCTAATGTAATTATGATGTGCCTTGGTGTGTTTCTTCTTGGGTCAAACTTCTTTGGGGCTCTCTGAGCTTCTTGGATTTCTTGGAAGACTGTTCCCTTTGCCAGATTGGGGAAGTTCTCCTTTATTATTTGTTCAAATACATGCTCAATTTGTTGCTTTTCCCCCTTCCCATTCTGGTACCCCCTATAATTCGGATGTTGGAACGTTTGAAGGTGTCCTGGATGCTCTTAAGTTTTTCCTTGATTTTCTGAATTCTTATTTCATCATGCTTTCCTGCTTGGTTGATTCTATCTTCCTTCTGGTCCACTGTATTGTTTTGAGACTCAGATTCCTTCCTTTCACTATTGGTTCTCCTCCGCGTATCTTCCTGCATCTCTTTTATGGTAACCTGCATCCTTTCATCTAAATTGCGCCCAAAATCAACCAATTCCGTGAGCTTTCTGACCACCAGTGTTTTGAACTGTGCATCTGATTGGCTATTTCTTGGTCACTCAAAAGGATGAGTCCTAGGGGACTGATCTGTTCTGTTGGAAACATGTCTTATGTCTTTCCCTGTCTCTCCTTTTTTTTTTTTCCAGTCAGGTCACTCTTGTTACGGTGGGGGGCGGAGCCTTAGGTGTTCACAGGGGCTGGGCACCCCGGTCGCTAGATTGTGATGTTATATGTGGGGGCGGGAGCGGGAACGGGAGGGAACAATGGCGGTAGTTCCGTTCTCCTGGGCTCAGACCCTTCTCTGGGATCCTGGGCTGCGAGCTCTGCCCTGGTCCACAATCGCTGCCTCACTGGGTCCGCCAGCCGCAGCTTGTGTACTCAGGGACCACCGCTGCGTTCTTGCGCCCCGGATGGCTGTCGCGCTGCTTTCGCGCCAAATTTTCTCCGACCTCCGTGCACCGCTGATCCGCGCCAGCCCGGCTCATCGTCTCCTACCGGTCTGGATGTACGGGTCTACTTCAACTTCTTGGCTGTCCGACTTCCATTCAGATAAATCCTTTATCAGTTCTGAGTGTTATTCTATCTATAAATTATTGTTGTTCTAATCTTGGTTGTGCGAGGAGGTACGGTACGTCCACCTATTCCTCCATCTTGCCCTAATTGTTATAACTTTTAAAGAAGGCATATAACTTGATGGAATGATTAAACAATTGGTAAACAAAAGAGAGATTCACTCATTTAAAACAAAACAAGACCAAAGTGGGAAAAAATCACACAAAGAAATCGCAGAAGCTGAAGTTGAACTGCGTCGGGAGGAGGTCCTCGGCACAGGGTACATGGACGAGTTACAGAACTTCCAAAGATTTCTCCTGGTCGAGGTGATTTAATGACCTAGAACACCGATTCCAGGTATCAAGAGGAAATGGCCTCCTGAGGCACCTGTGCGGATATTATGGGATGGCATGGCACGTCTTTCAGGGGGCACAGGAGAGTGTGACTGAAGGAATGAGACGTTTAAAAAATAAACATACACTCACTAGTGCGCCCTTCAGAGTTACCGCCTGAAGAGCTGCAACTGCTGCTCCAAACATTTCCAGGAAAGTCTCTTTTGAACTCCTCCACTTATTTTACATGCTACCCAACAAATCAGTTTTTATTACTTTTATAATCATCCTCTATTTTAAACCAAATATAGCAGCATTCCCCAATTTGGTTTACTTTAAACTCTGCTCTTCCCCTCCCCCCAAAGGAAATACAAAGATTTAGAAAAATCCAAAATGACGTACCTAGTAGGCAATTCCAAAAAAATCTTCCCCAAAATATATCAATCAATGACAACACTATTGGAAGTACTACTTTTAATAAGTTTAAATAGCCCTTGAATATGTTTATTAAAGTGAAGTTATTTATTCACATACTCTTAAAAGGAAATACATTGGGCAGACTAAGTTATATTACAGTAGATGTAGGAAATGGATATTTCACAATAAACAATTTGTTGATCATTTCTTTATGTTCATCACTAAGGCTCAGAGAGCCTTTTCAGGACTACGTATTTACCAGAATTTTAAAATTCAATTCCCAAACAGTACAGCTGCTCTGGAAAATTGTTTGGCAGTTTCTCAAAAGGTTGAATACAGAACTACCCTATGGTGAATAACCCCACAGTTCTATCCTAGACACACACCCAAGAGAAATGAAAACGTGTGTCCACATAAAAACTTGTACACAAACATTCTACAGCACCATTATTCATAATAGCCCAATGGTGGAAATAACCCAAAGGTTCATCACCTGATAAATGGATAAAAATGTGGTTTATCCATACAATGCAATAGTATTGGGCCATGAAAACAGTTTTTTAAAACAAAGGAATAAAGTGCTGATTCATGCTACAATATGGACGAACGGTGAGAACATTATGCTAAGCAGAAGATGCCAGTCACAAAGACCATACACTGTGTAATCTCATGTCTACGAAATGTTCAGAATAGGCAGCGCATCTGCAGTGGCAGATAGTGGTGTGGTGATCGCCTCAGGCTGGGGGGGGGAATGGGAAATGACTGCTCATGGGTGTGGGGTTTCCTTTTCGGGGGACGAAAATGTTGTAAAGTTGATTTCAGTGAGGCTGCACAACTCTGAATACACTAAAAACCATGGAATCGTACACTTTAATGAGTGAACTCTTTGGTATGTGAATTAGATCTTAACAAAACTTTTACATATGATATTTAAAAAGTCAACCCTCACCTCTGCTCAGGCGATGCGCACATCTCTGCATAATACTTGATCTTCGGTTCTGTCCCACTCGTCCGAAGGGTAGCAACACAGCCGTTTTGAAAAGTGAATGTAATCATCTGGCTGTTTTTACTCACGGGCAGGACCTGTGCACAACGGTAACGATGGCTTCATCACACCTGGTGAATTTTCACTTTCAAGAGTTTTAGAGTACATTACACTTATATGTGATGTTTAAAGTAGCCAAATTCATAGAAACAGAAAGTAACAGGGGGTTGCCAAGGGCTGAAGGGAGGGACCAACAGGGAGTTGTTTTGTGGGTGTGGAGCTTCAGGGCAGCACGGAGAAAAGGTTCTGGGCGTCTGCATGGCAATGTGAATGTAGTTAACACGGCTGAACTGTGTGCTTAAAAACGCTTAAGTTGGTAATTTTATGTTTCATTTTTAATTATTTATCACAATTAAAAATAAAAAAGTTTTAAAGAATTGTAAAAGACAAAAGAAGGTTATATACATAATTCACAAATATGCCCCTTACTGGACATTATAATAGTACGTGCACTGATCTCGGTACCTTACATAGATGATCTCTGGGCCTCGACAAAAACCCTGCAAACTAAATATTACTGCCAATTTATAGGCAAGGCCCAAAGACAGCACACAACCTGCCCAAGGTCATCATCTGCTAAGTGGCAGAGCAAGAAGTTCAAGCCAGGTCTACCTATAACAAAGTCTACACCGCCTCTACATTTGCCAAGTGCTTTCTAATTTTAAAGGCCTTTCACAGTTCATTACCATATTTCGCCATGTATAGTGTGCTCCTGTGTACAATGCGCACCCATGGCTTCGTGCACATTATACATGGGATTACTATATCCATGGTGTGTAATCATTATACCCATGCATAACGTCCACTCTATTTTTCCCTCAAAAATCTGGGCAAAAAGTGTGCACTATACATGGCAAAATATGGTAATAGTCACCAAAGTAGAGTTCACATATCCTGGAGGATAGGCAAAACAATTCACTGGGGTGCAAAAATGTTTAAAATATTTTTTACTGAAAAAATTTTTTAACAAAGAAATGAAGCTTTATGGACAGTAAAGATACGGACCAACACTGGTAATCTTCCCAGACCACAGATCAGTCTGTGAAGTCATCTCAAGGGAGCTGTGGAGTTGGTACTGAAACAGGGGTTGACAGTGGTGCCTTTGCTCAGGTGTCCTGAGCCTGGTCCTCCACTTGAGACCCCTCTCTTGGTTGGTGCCACCACCATATTCTCGAAAACTTCCTCCCCCACTTTTTGCTCATAGAATATCAATGAGCAAGCCCCATCTGTTCTATCTTTGACTCACCTGAACTTTGTCCAATTCTCTCCATCACTCCTGCTGCTATGATTAAGTTCAGGCTCCCATTCTCTCTCGTCTCAGTTACCGAAACAGCACACTAACTGATCCACACATGCCACTCTTCCTCGAACCCCACACTCTAGAGAACTACTTGTGGTTCTTTAAAGGAGAACGAGCCTTCTCACCTCCAGACCTAGTACTTGCTGTTCCCTTCCCCTGAAACACCCTCTGTTCCTCCTACATCTGGGTAACTCCTGCTCCTACTCTGGAACTCAGCTCGCAGAAGTCCTCCAGAAAGTCTTCCACAAGCCCCCGAATCTGAGTAGGGGCCCTTCCTAAGCCCTTCCATGGCACCCTATGCACCCCATGGCAACACTTTCAGTTTGTAGGGTAATCGCTGTAGTTGCTCATTTACTCTCTGGACTCTTAAGTGCAGCAACAGCACCCCAGCGTGCCTGTGCCTGCAGCTCGGAAGGGTCATTATAAATGCCTGCTGCGCCCACAGAAGAATGTCAGTCTGAGGTGTGGAGAAGAAAGAGCTCAGGAAGTCCTTGACACTTACTACATGACCTTAGGGGATTAACTATATCTATACTACCTGCCTTGCAAAATTGTCATAAGCATCAGCGAAGAACAGATAGAAAAGCTCTTTGAATGACAAATATACGCTTTAAAGGGACTTAAGAAGGGAAAACCAGAATACAAGTACTCCAAGCACAGCAACAATAGAAAAATAAAAAGCAAAAGAAAAAAAATTGGTTCTTTTCTTCAAGTAGTTTACAAAGACACAAAAACAGATACACACACACATGCACCGAATACTGATGACTGGGAACCGATATTTGCTGACTGCATGAATATACACAAAGGCAGTGTGGGTAGTGTTCTCCCCGGGAGGCTGCAGACTTCCCCAAACATATCATGCCCTAGAATCTTGAGCGAACACCAGGATGTTGTTATAAATGATCATTTAGGCTAAATATGATCAGCAATCCATGCATTTAAATATTTGCTGAGCACCGACCATGTAGGCAGGACATTTGAGAGGCCTAAAGGTACATATATCAGAAATGGATCTGCCAGGTAAAACACAGATAACACAAGATAGAAAGTGATGAATGACAAGAGGAAGCTACAACATGTAATGAAAACTCAGGAGAAAGATATCTGCTTATGGGACCTGGAGGACACGTGGAGGTGACGTTTGCCTTAAGTCTTGAATAATGGCTAAGGTGTGGACCTGCGACATTAGAAAGAAAAGCTAGAGTGAGGAAACAGTTTAAGCAAAATTGGAGAAACTTAAAAAAAATATATGTGTGTGTGTGTGTGTGTGTGTGTGTGTATGAGATAAATTATAAATGGTACTATTTGGCTGGAAGTATAAGAGAATAAAGTTGGAAAAGGGAGATTATAACCAGAAAGAAGTGTAGCTTGAAAATTATAGCCTTTTAGACTTTATTTTCAACATTATTTATTCAGCCTTGACCAGTGTGACTCAGTTGGGCATTGTTCTACAAAGCAAAAGGTCGCCAGTTCGATTCCTGGTCAGGGCACATGCCTGGGTTGTGGCCCAGTCCCTGGTTGGGGTGTGTGCCAGAGGCAACCAAATGATGTTTCACTCCATCCCGTTCTTCCTCCCTTCCCTTCTCTTTAAAAAGTAATTTTAAAAGAATCTAAAAAAACCCCCACATTATTTATCTAGCATCATCACACATTCTCCCCCCTTCCTTCCCTTTTTCTTTCTGCCTGCCTTTCTCATTCTTTTTCTCTCTGTTTACTTGTTCATTTTCTCTTGGGGAGTAATAAGACAGAATCAGAGTCGGAGAGCCAGTGAGTGGACTTACAACAGCTCTGGGGAAAAACAATGGATCTTAGTTTCAAGAAACTAATAGGCTTGAACTTCCTCTATTTCATCATAGTATGAATTATTAAACACTGTTAAAAAGCCCTGGCTGGTGAGGCTCAGTGGACTGAGTGCTGGCCTGTGAACCAAAGGGTCACTGGTTTGATTCCCAGTTGGGGCACAAGCCTGGGTTCTGGGCCAGGTCCCCCATAGGGGTGTGTGAGAGGCAACCACACAGTGATGTTTCTCCCCCTCCCTTCCCCTCTCTCTAAAAATAAATAAATAAAATCTTTAAGAAAAATAAAATAAAAACTGTTTAAAAACCCTTTTTAAAAAATATTTTTAAAAAGGTACTCACTGATTTCTTATTAGGTTGGCTGCTGTCATATCCAGTGGTAATGTCTCGTACATGCAATATAGCAAATGTCCCACAAAATTTTGGATATTCTTTTGGAGAATCAAAATTACGAAGCCTTTCAAATATACTTTTGATGGTAGTTGGATCATAACACAAGAAATATGAAGTTTTTGAAATGTGATAACCATACCTGCACCAAGATTTAAAGAGTTCAAATCAGATTTCAGATAACTCTTTAGAAAAGTATGTATTACAGAGAAACCAGTTATAGAATTATGTAGAAAGTAGCAGTCCTTTATTCAGACAATTTTAGTACTTTTTAAAAAGGACCATTCCTCAAAAACAAATTCAGTGGGACTTACTTTTCATAAACTTTAATAAGCTGCTGATTCAGTGTCACATTCCTGGTTTCCAGGTAAGATGCCATCTCAGCAACAACCACGGCTGCGCTCACCCCGTCTTTGTCTAGAACTGCGGTTCCACACAGAAAGCCTGAGAATTAAAAAAGAAGAAAAATGTAAGCCTGCAATACTTTCCATAGTTCTACATTTCTCCAGAAGGAGCGATGAATTAAAAGCCTAGTAACAAATGAAACCCATTGATACTGAAGGTATTTAGGGGACCTTTAGGTGGCTTTTTTTTTCTCTGATGAGAAATGAATCTACACATTTGTGAATGCTCTGTGGTTTTTACAACTCAGAATACAAAACCAAAAGACAAAAATTCCTCTCTATAGAATTACTACATTTTTTTTAAAATGCTGTCATTCAAATTTCAAATATTTTAATATTTACTACGTACCAATAGACTCTTCAAATGCAAAAAGGACTTCTTTCCCATTTTCCAGGAGGTCTTTTATCCTACTTCCAATCCATTTAAAACCCGGTAATGTTTCCTGAAATGCAGAGGAGGCCACTCTTGTTAAGTGACTCTCTCACAAATACATATTAGAGAAAAGCCCCTAAATGCACTATATAACACTCTCATAGTGATCTTCTGTTATGGTGTTTGGTCCACAAAGGTTTATATAGTGAGCCTTGGCTGGTGTGGCTCAGTGGGTTGAGTGCGGGCTGCGAACCAAAGGGTTGCTGGTGCGATTTCCAGCCAGGGCACATGCCTGGGTTGCAGGCCAGGTCCCTAGTGGGGGACACATGAGAGGCAACCACACATTGACATTTCTCTCCCTCTCTTTCTCTCTTCCTTCTCCTCTTTCTAAAAATAAATCAATAAAATCTTAAAAAAGATTTATATGGTGGTAAACATACAGTCATAAAGTACATGGGAACACACGCTGCCAGGACCAATGACCTACTATTTATCAACCACAGTAATAGGTGATTTACACCAAATATAATCCCATATTTACAAGTGGTGACACGTATAGTCACAAAGTAACATGTTATTACCATCTACTATTTATCAAACAGTGTAACAAGTGTTTATATCATTATCATTTTTTAAAACTTATTTTATTGATTTTTGAAGGTGGGGGAGAGGGAGAGAGAAACATTGATTTGTTGTTCCACTTATTTATACATTCAAATATAAATAAGTTGCTTCTTATATGTGTCCTGGCCAGGGATTGAACCCACAACCTTGGCATATTGGGATGATACTATAATCAACTGAGCTACCTGGCCAGGGCCATTATTTTTTTTTAAATTCTCACCCGAGGATATTTTTTTTTCATTGCTTTTAGAGAGAGAGGAAGTGAGAGAGGAAGAGAGAGACAGAAACAAAGACAGAAGAATTGACTGGTTGTCTCGCATACACTCCCAGCAGGGGATCATACACCTCTGTGCCCAGACCAGGGATGGCACCCTTCGGCCATGGGACAAAGCTCCAACCAACTGAGCCACAGAGGCCAGAACCCAGTATCATTTTTAATGCTCACAAAAACTCTGTTGCTGAAACAGGCTCAGAGGTTCAGTAAATTTGCCCAAGATTATGCTGTATACAAGAGATAGAGGTAGGATTCAACTGCACTGCATCTCAGAAACTGTCCTTAAAGTATTATTATAAAGCACTAAAATAAGAATACTTACGAAGATTGTGATCTAGTCCCCTTAAGTAATCAAAGGCCACGGAACTTCAATGATGCAGTTTCAACATTATTACAACATATGCCTGAACCAAGCATCTTTTACCTTAACACCAAGCCCTTGTTTGGTAATTAGATTTGAGGACTTTGCATCTGACAGCTATTGTTCCCTTTACAGACGGGAACTGTTTCAGAGTCAACAGAAAGAGCATGTGATACGCCCTGTCTCCAGAGTGCACCATTCTAATTCACCTCTCTATCTCTTCACTGGAAAATAAAAATAAAAGCTAAAACCACATGCCATCCCTACTTCCAACAATAAAAACAAGGAAGCAAATTTACACTATTGGTTTTTGGAATAATTTCTTTTTTCTCTTTTGTGCTCATTATACATATTCTTGCCATAAATAGAAATAATAAATATGTTAATTTAACATTACTGTAATTCAGACTCTTAGGCTTAAATAAAATTTCACTTTCTTCTATTTTGCTGTTTGCATTTTAGAAAGCCTAAGGTTGAAAACTCTATTTCACTAAGACAAGTACAATTGTCTTTTCTTCAGCCAGCTAATGTTAAGACCTGTAGCTGGACTGTGGCTCAAGAAAACTGTCCAGAGGTGACATTTTTACTGATATTTGGCAAAGATGGCAGAGGAGAAGCAACTTAATTGACATTAGTCCTAGTAGCTGTTAAAATGGCCAGTTTAATTGCCTGAGGCTCCCAAGGTTAGTGATCTGTGCTGAGAGGCATTATTTGTTTTTTGAATGTAGAATTATTGGATCTTAATTTGCAATTTAGAAGACTACTTAAAGTTTCTTAAGACTGAACTTGAAGAGCCTAAACAAGTAGTCCATGACACCTACAACGTTTTGCAGTGGAGTTTATGTTACTGATGAGGTCACCAGGTGCCATATTTTCTCAGTATGAAAACCAGATACTGTTGTATGGAATAATAACCATTAATGCAATTTTTAAAGAACATTTTATCTTAGTTTCGGACATTCACACACTGGATGAATTTGGCTGAAGTGTCTAAATCATCAAAAAGATAAAGTGTGAGCAAAATTAGAAAAACGTAAGAATTATACATGAAATTAATAAAAGTCAGTTTTGGTGGGGAGACAGCTTGAATTTACAGAAATAGGTTTAGAAAATTAACAGAGATATTATCTATTCTTACTTCAAAATGAAACCCTTCTTTAAGTGCAATGGCCCTCAGAATCTTGGAAGAGACCGTGGTGGCTAACATACAAACGTTCTTCATGTCAGTGTTTTGTGATTTATTTTTCTTCCAGCAATCAAACATCCACCACCCGAACAGAGCTGCCAACTCATTTCCCGTGAAGACTTTCCAGTGACCGCTGTGGAGAAAATAAAAGGTCAAGCCAAGACTTTTATAGTTTCTCATTATATCTTCTTGACCCAAGACCTATAAATTATCACCCTCCATATAGGAAAACTCAAGAACTATTGTATGGAATTTTTAAGAAAACATTTACTACTACTTTTCTAACCGACCATAGGTAAGCTTAGGGTAGAAATGGTAGCAATGTCTTTTGAAAAACTATCACTTTTACTTCCCTACTTAATGAGAAAGAAGTTAAAAACATGATGTCCATTCTATGTAAAGACAGTTGTCACAACAGTATAATGGCAAAAATATACAGCCACTCAAGGGACCACAACTGGGAAAGGATCACATTGATAAGCAGTCTGTTGTAATACTATGCCATTTTAAAATTTAATATTTTAAACAACATTTAAGGATGGGAAAACTCACAGTATGATATCAAGTGAAAAATAATCGATATAAAATTATACACAGGGTGGGACAAAAGTAGGTTTACAGTTCTTCATATGGAAAATAAATCAATAATTAATAAATAATACAAGAATAAACTATTTTATGTACTCACAACTATAAACCTACTTTTGTCCCATCCTATATAGTATGATCACAATTTTGTAAAAACAAATATATCTTAAATATTTGAGTAGAAAAAACTTAGAAAGGAAATGTTAAAATCAACGTAGGTGTTTATTCCTAGATAGTAGGCTTACAGGAGATTTCTTATTTCTGTATTTATTTTAGCATTTCCAACAAGTCTGTAAGACTTAAAATTAAAAATTGTTTTTCAAAATTTAAGCTTTTAATCAGACGACAGGTTCTACTGACTTCTCCTGAAGTTCTGCCACTGCCAGTCGGTCCGCGTCGGGATCTGTGGCCACCACTATCCGGGCGTTTTCTTTCTCTGCCAGTCTCAAAGAGAGCTCCTGAAACAGGGACCCAAAGAGCTGGATTGCATTTAAGACGTTAAATTCAATGTCAATATTTCTAAATGTAGGCACTATGTCAGTGACATGAATTTCAGAAGAAATATAATTCAGCTATATTTAAAATAAGCCTAGAAGTAGGGCTATATCTACCATAGAGATTTCAAACAAAAAAGAATGGCTCCGATATAATTTAAAAGATGTAAACTAAAGTGGATTCTGCTTTTGTAAGTATCTTTGAATTGCCAATGAGTTCTATCTATCTGATGAAGTACAATACACTAATAATAATTTAAGGATAGAGAAGCATACCAGCACAGATTCTCCCTCTTCAGGGTTTGGGCATTTAACGGTGGAAAAGTCTGGATCCGGATCTTTCTGTTCTGGGACCGGAATTGGAGGCTTAAAACCGAACACTTGAAAAGCCAACTGCACGTAGTCATGTCCGACCCCATGAAAAGATGTATGTACAAATTTCAAGGTGGTCTTTGAGTTTAATTCCCTGTGAAGGAAAATCATCATTCAATCAATCATAAAATTCATTACTTGTGATATAATTAAAATAAGCTAGAGAAAAAGCTAACATCTATTTTGTAGGATAAGGAAAACATACTCAGCCAGCCATGAAGCTTTCTAATAATAGTGTTAGCTATTTATGCAATAGTTAATGAAAATATGGAAAAAGAAAAGGAAAAATAAGATTCTAGAGAAAATCTGTTGATCTTAAATAAAGGGAATTTACATATTTAGCTATCTTTTTTTAACTGCTTTACTGAGAGGTAATTAATATACTATACAATGCATCCATTTAAAGTGTTTAATTCAATGTCTTTCACTATATTCAGAGTTTTTCAACCATTTTCATAATCAATTTTAGAACATTCTCATTAACCCCCCCACCCCCAAAAAAACCTCCAGACCCCATAGCTGCCACTCTCTAACCCTCCCATTCCTCCCAACCACAGGTAGCCACCAGTGTACTTTCTGTCTGTTTCTGTCTCTCTAGATTGTCTACTCTGGACATTTCAGGTACATGGAATCATATAATACGTGGTCCTTGGCGGCTGGCTTCTTTTTCTTAGGTATTTTCCAGGCTTACCATGCTGTAGTATGCATCCATAATTCATTTCTTTTTACTGTTGAATAATATTTCATTATATGGATATACCATATTTTATTTACCTCTTCATCAGTTGATGGATATTTAGGTTATTTCTACTTTTTGACTATTATGAACAGAATTATTTAGCTATAATTTCAAATATAATAATCGGCCAATACTTTTTTATCCCTATTTCTTTCTCTTATTCATTTCTTTTTCTTTTTTCTTTTTATTTATTGTTGCTCGAGTATAGTTGTCTCCATTTTCCTGCTACCACTTTCCCCTGCCCCACCCTCAGTCTTACTTGTTGATCTTATTCTGAGGTAATGCTATTCTATATTCCCACTCGGTACCTGTAAAAACATATCTTTTTCAGATCTTCCATGTATCTCCTACAAATGTCCTGCAGAGGATCTCTCTTCAGCGGGCTGGTATCCACTAAATTATCATTCCAGGAACCATTCCAGGGCTCCACACATTCTTCTATACATTTCAGGATTTCTTTGTCATGAGGAGATGTGATCTGAGCCCCTGTTTCCCAGTAAACCTAGACAATAAGTAAATACAGTTATAAATACTTAAAATGTTGATCAGATATTTTCTTAGCTACAGTAGAGATATTTCACTTTAAAAAGAAGCAGGATAATTAACCAAATAGAAAATGTCAGCACAGAACTAGTATAATAAATACCAAGGTACACTGATGGCAATAATTACACAGGGACTCTTCAACAAAATGATCATTTATTCTTTCTCTTTTAGAAGTATACTTTAATAAAATAGGGCATCACTATGACAACATTATAACATGCACATACCGACATATCCAATCAAACTCTTATATTAACTATATACCTAAGATAATCTAAGCAACCATGGAATATCCAGAAAATGATACTGTAAAATTTTAGTATTATAAAGTGGTTCTGTTAGTGATAAAGAAGAAATTATTTTTAAGTTATAAATTAAGGTAGAATTTATGTCACAACAAATAAAGTCTATGAAAGACCGTGTTAATTATCCCATATATACTTTATGCATTTTCAGTACTTAATGAAAATACACTTTATTACGTTGTCAGTTTGTCAAGTAAGAAGTATTAGAGACAGGTAGTAAAAAAAGGCAAAAAAATGCGTATCTCTGATTCACAGGATATCAAACTTAGAAAGGACTCTGCTTAGGGACATCTATGCTGACTTCAGCCTTGTATTTGACATGAATCCCCTCTACTGCATCCTCAGTGAAGGAAAGAATATACTTGAATATGCACTAGGCACAAAGTTCTGTGCCATGCAATATGGTGGGCAAGATAACCTGAGAATTCTCACTGTATAAAAACCTCAAAATTCTAGATAAAGTAGAAAAAGTATTATCTCAGATGCATAGCTTAGTTCACAAGAAGGAAAGGGAAAACTCCAGGTGGGGGGAACAAAGGAAAGAATTGAAAAGCAGAGTGATGAGGCTGTGGGGCTGATGCTGTGGCTGCCTGGGGTTTAGCAGCTGCCCATTTATCTGGTTCTGGAGTTGTGGAAAGGAGGAAATTTTCCACTGAGACACCCCTCAGTGGAAATACAGAACAGAAAAACTTCTGCCCACTATTATAGAGAGATAGTGAGGAAGCATGTCTAGGTTTTTTTCGTTCTGAGTGATTTAGAAAAATTCAAAGCTGAGGTCTGAATTAACTCAGAAATTGCTCCCAGTCAGCGAAACTCCCAAGGTTCCTGCAGAAATTAAAAGCAAAAACAAAAACTGCTGTGAAGGGATGTTCCCACATTCCATGCCACAAAAAAAGATTCTACCCATAGGCCCTGAAAGCTCACTGTGAGCATCTACAAAAAATGAGAAAGGAATCCTGGCCTTTTTCCCAGCCCACTTTTTCTTGCCTTGTATGTGGACACGATGCCTGGAGATACAGTAACCATCATGTGAGGACCACACTTGAGGGAAAGGCTGAAAAAAAAAAAATTGGCAGAGATGCTAGGCCTGCTATCATGGAGCTGGAGAACAACGCCAGCAGCCACCAACCTGTGGACTTTTTGTTATGCAAGAAAAATTGACATTCATCAGCTTAAGCCACTTTTCTGGGTTTTCTGAACCTACAATGGAAAGTATCTCTACCTGATAAAGTAACAACAACAAAAAAATCCATGCAATATATTCCAAAATATACCCAGGAATAGGGCTTTAAAAGGAATGTAAAAAAAAATCTATTTAAAGAAAATTTTTAAAATGTTACTAAAGAATCTAAAAGAACTCTTAAGAGAATAGAAAGATAAATCCTGTTCATGAATAAGGAGACTCAGTAATATTATAAAAATACTGAAACTTCATAAATTAACCTGCCACTATAGATGATAAGAATAATATCAACAGCTAACATTTAGTGAGGATTTATCGGAGCCAGACACTGTAGTAGTATTTTACACTCATTATCTGCCTTAACCCTCACTCTCACACTGTGATGTTGGTTCTACTATGTCCCCAGTTTATAGATGGGGGAACCAAAGCACAGAGAAATTAAGTTATTTGCCTCAAACCACAAAGCTTCTGAGTCCCAGAGGTAGGTTTCAAACCCAAACCATACTTTTTTCTTTTTAAGATTTTATTTATTTATTTTTAGAGAGGGAAGGGAGGGAGGGAGAGAGAGTGAGAGAGAGAAACATCAATGTGCGGTTGCTGGGGGTTATGGCCTGCAACCCAGGCATGTACCCTGGCTGGGAATCAAACCTGGGACACTTTGGTTCCCAGCCCGCACTCAATCCACCAGGGCTACGCCAGCCAGGGCTCCAAACCATACTTTTAACTGCTGTTCTACACTGACTATATAAATCTGCCTGCATGTATGAACAAAGATTATGTAGGAGAACATTCATTGTAGGGCTGTTCGTAACCAGATGATCAGAAACAAATGAAATACTCATCAACAGAGGAATAATTAAATAAACTAGGATTCATCTATACAGGTTTTTAAAGACCAGTGAGGCAGACAGATCTATCTATCTATCTATCTATCTATCAATGAATCAATGGAGAGAATGATCTTGAATGATCAGACTGTTTCATACTGCTATATGAAAAAAGCAAGGTGCAAAACACTGTATAGAGTACCCCACCATTCATGGAAAAAAAGGAGGCAATGACAAATGCATATCTGATTATATACATGCTTAGACTATCTCCAGAAGGAAACTATAACTGGAAACAGTATTTGCATCTGAAAGAGGTACTGGGGAAAAAGGGATGGGAGAGGTAATTTTTATTGTTTAACTTTTTAGGCTGTTTAACTTTTATACTTTTTATCTTATATTTTAAGAAGAGGAAATCTTTGACGGTTTACTGTGTGGCAAATATGTTCAAAAGCAATGAACATTAAAACAGACTAAGTCCCTCCACCCATGAGCTTACAGTGGGAATGCGGTCAAACAAACATGTCAACAAACAAGATAATTCATTATAAAGAAAGCAGGTAATTAGAGAGGGACGTAAGTTCTGTGAAGAAAATAAACAAGACGTCAGCAGGTCACTGAGGGAAGGTGCTTTAGATATGGTGACCAGGGGAGGTCTCTTCAGGGAAGAAACAGCTGGGCAGGAAGCTGAAGGATGTAAACAGGCCAATCTGCAAGATCTGGGGAAGAGAGACCTGAGCAGAGGAAAACACAATTATGAAGGTTCAGAGGTGGGAAAGGGCTTGGTACACAGGAGGAACTGGAGGAACAGGAAGAAGAGGCAGTGTGACTGACTTGTAGTGAGCACAGGACAGCAACGAATGAAACGAGGGTGAGGAGGCAGGCAGGAGACAGAGGCCCATGAGCCCTAAGGTAGGGAGTTTGGATTTTGTCTGAAGAATGAGAAGCCACTGAAGAATTTTCAAAGCAGGGAAGTCACATGACCTGTTTATATTTTAAGCGATCATCTGGTCCTTTGGTGGAGAACAGATGGCGGGGGAGAACAATGGAGGCAGAGGAGAGACCAGCTGGGAGGCTGGAGTTTAGACAGAAGACAACAATGCTTTGGAATGGTGGTGGTAGAAGGTATGGACAGAAGTAAACATATTCAACATACATCGTATATTTTGGATGTACAATGTGTAAACCTGTTAGTGGATTAAATGTCAGGAGTGAAGGAGCGGTAGTATCAATTTGCAGAGACAGGAAGACTGAGAGGAACACATTTGGGTGTGCATGGGGCAGGCTGTAGGGGAATCAAGACCTCTTCTGGAGACACTAATTCCGACATGTCTGCTAGACATCCCAGTGGATAGCAAGCAGGCAGCTGGATGTAGGAGTCTGATGCTCAGAGGAGATCTGGGTTATTAGCTCTCTTGACAGTTGACCTTTCTCTCCTTGAAATCTTTATTTCTTTGTTTGTTTTTTAAGATTTTATTTATTTATTTTTAGACAGGGGAAGGGAGGGAGAAAGAGAGGGAGGGAGAAAGAGAGGGAGAGAAATACCTATGTGTGGCTGCCTCCCATGCATCCCCCACTGGGGGACCTAGCCTGCAATCCAAGCATGTGCCCTGACTGGGAATCGAACCCAAGACCCTTTGTTTTACAGGCCAGAACTCAATCCACTGAGCCACACCAGCCCTTTGGTTTTTATGACACCAAAATTTTCTGGTTTTTCTCCTATCTCCAGCACTTCTTCTTTTTCCCTTCTTCTTCTTTTTGTTTTTTTTTTTAAGATTTTATTTATTTATTTTTGGAGAGAGGGAGAGGGGGAGAGAGAAGGAGAGAAACAGCAATGTGTAGTTGCCTCTTGCACACCCCCTACTGGCCTGCAACCCAGACGTGTACCCTGACTGGGAATCAAACCAGTGACATTTTGGTTCACAGACCTGCACTCAATCCACTGAGCCACACCAGCCAGGGCCCAAATACTCTTAAATACTCTAATATGTATGGTGATCCCCAAATCTATAACTTCAGCCTATATTTCTTCCCTGAGCACCAGATCTATGTATCTAACTGTGTGTAGGACGTTGCTATCTGGTTGAGCAAATATCTTAAACTTAATATATCCAAAACTGAGTTAATCATGCTTCTTCCCTACCTCTGTGACTGGCAATACTACCCACCTAGCTGGCCAAGGCCCCAATCTTAGATTACTATTAAATCTTATTGTTTTCAGTAAAACAGAGTCCAGTGTACCTGGAGACCTCCGCACAAGAAGAAAAACAAATATAAGGCCCTGGCTTATCGCCCAAGAGCCCCAAACATGGACTCGGTACTGTGCTATGTATGTGCTGTTTGCACCCCCAGGGCCACTCTTCTCCTGTCCCCACCCTGCTTTCTGTCACGGAGGCTGACACATCAAGTGGGGCCTGTGGCCAGTGGGGCAGAAGGTTAGAGGTGAGGACAGTGATTCTTCAAAGTACTATTCCTCTGGCTTGCTTTCTGCAAATTCCACCAATTCTTTAAGTTTTTGATACAGTATGATTTTATTTTTGAAATGGTAAAGACGATGGATTTGGCATAGAATGGGGAAATCAAGGGCAGGAAGATATTTGAAGTAAAGAGACCAATAAAGAGACTTTTGTAATGATAGTACATGTTGAGAAGTAATAAGGGCCATTAGAGATGCACATTCTTTGAGGCCTCAATGTTTTTATCTTCCTGTCCTCAATGTCTAGCTCTGCTTCTTGGTATAGAAAATATACTCAGCACTTATTTAAATAAAATAAAAGCTATGTAAATAAGCAAAGGATAGGAGTCCAAGGTTTACCTTGTATCCATTGTCTTCTTTGCGGTTGTGAGATGCTGTAATCATCACACCTGCAACTGCTTTGAGCTCCTGGACTGCATATGGCTGAAACAACAGTGACAGTATAATTTCATTTTGCTTTCTGGCTATGCATACAGTTGACATCAGAACACCTTTGACTAAATAACAGTAAAAGACATTAAGATGTAAATAGCTTAAAACCTCAGCCACCAACTCTGGTTCATTGGGTTGGGCCCATTTCTAAAAGGTCACCAATAACCACCTGTTAGGGTAAATGGATTTCCCCTCTAGACTCATTTAACTTAGTCCTATAAATGTTTTTTATTATTTTTTTAAAAGATTTTAATTATTTATTTTTAGGTCTCTGCTGGGGACCTGGTTCACAACCCAGGCATGTGCCCTAGACTGGGAATTGAACTGGTGACCCTTTGGCTCACAGGCCAGCACTCAATCCACTGAGCCACACCAGCCAGGGCTGTTTTTTTATTATTTTGTTAATTTCAAAAATATCTAATAAGCACTCACTATATGTCAGGCACTCCTCTACACTCTGGAGATATGAGTGGTGAATATAATCATAAAATGTTAAGAGCTGGAAGTAAATTTAGAAATCACCTAACCCGCCACATTTTAAACCGAGGTTTATCCAACATTATACAATCATAAGGGGGGAGATTCAAGAGCAGCACATCTGTCTCTTGTGTTCCAATTTGAAAATCTGTACATATATTCTGTTACTATCATATAAAGGTCAACTCACCCTCTTTGCTTCCAAACATAATTCTTTTTTTTTTAAAGATTTTATTTATTTATTTTTAGAGAGGGAAGGGAGGGAGAAAGAGATAGAGAGAGAAACATCAATGTGTGGTTGCTGAGGGCCATGGCCTGCAACCCAGGTATGTGGCCTGACTGGGAATCGAACCTGCGACACCTTGGTTCGCAGCCCGTGCTCAATCCACTGAGCTACGCCAGCCAGGCAACCAAACATAATTCTTAGAGGTTGGATTTTTCTTTTTGTTTGTGGTAGTTAGTGTTTGTCTACCTAGGATGTTCCCCCTACTCCTCTACCATTATATCCAACTTCTCTCCTCCTGGCAGGGGAGGTATGGACACATGATCCAGTTCTGAGCTGAGTAACGTACCCCCTGGCGATTTAGTTCAGAAACTGGTTAAGAATACGCCTGGTCGGAGTCGTTTCTAAGATGTTTCTGCTGCAGGTAGACAAGGAAGAATGCCTTTCAACTCAAGGTCTTGGTGATAAAGGGTGTGAATCTGACGCTGCGGAAAAATAACTTCCCTACCAACTGGAGCAAATCTACCTTCAACAAGAGAGGAAGAGGCCGCACAGGGACTGAAGTACTTGGGACTGGCAACCCAGTGGCAGAATCCGGCAGAAATGTTCTAAATTTCTGGAGCCTCCCTGGTTTCTGTCATTCATTAGACTCAATTGTCTAAAAATTTCTTCCATTCTTAGAGCCACTCAGTATATTTCCAGTAAATCACTAGCCACCATTTATAGAGACATTATCTCTTCCTCAAACATTTGGTAAATCCTGCCTGTACAATCATCTAGAATTGGCACATTTAACTTGAGAAGATTAAAAAATATATATCAGTTCAGCCCTGGCTAGTGTGGCTCAGTTTGTTGGGCACATTCCTGCAAAGCAAGAGGTCACTGGTTTGATTCCCCGTCAGGGCACATGCCTGGGCTGCAGGTTTGGTCCTGGGTCAGGATATACAAGAGGCAAACAATTGGTGTTTCTCTCTCACATCAACGTTTCTCTCCATCACTTTCTCCCTACCTTACCCTCTCTCTAAAAATAAAAAATAAAATCTTTAAAAAATGTTATCAGTTCAATTTCCTTAGTGGTCAAAGCCTATTCGGGTTTTTCTACATCAGTTTTGATGTATTGATTATTCTAGGAAATTGGCCAGTTCATCTAAGCTTTCACATTTATTTGTAATATGTTCAGAATATTATGGTTTTCTTAATCTCTGCTATATTTACTACTCATCTTTTAAATTTCTTTTTGTTTTTTCTCTTTTTTCTTGAGCACCCTTGCTAAAGATTTATTTTATTAGTCTCTCCAGAGAGCCAACTTATGCTTTTGTTGATACCCTCTTTTCTTTCTTTTTTTTTTTTTAAAGATTTTATTTATTCATTTTAGAGAGGGAAGGGAGGGGAGAGAGAGAGAGAGAGAGAGAGAGAGAGAGAGAGAGAGAGAGAGAGAGAGAGAGAGAGAGAGAGAGAGAAACATCAATGTGCGGTTGCTGGGGGTCATGGCCTGCAACCCAGGAATGTACCCTGGCTGGGAATCGAACCTGGGACACTTTGGTTCCCAGCCCGTGCTCAATCCACTGAGCTACGCCAGCCAGGGCGATACCCTCTTTTCTTTATTTCGTATTTAATTGATTTTTCCTCGTATGTTTATTATTTCCTTCCTTTTACTTTATTTGGATTTACTCTGTTTTCATTCTAACATACTAAGTTAAAGGCTTAGCTCATCATTTTAAATCTCATTTTCCTAATATAGTCATGGACTATGAATTTCCCTTTAAGTAGGGCTTTATTTATAGCCCATAATTTTTGCTATTTATTGTTGCTCAGTTTTAAATACAGGCAGTCCTTGCTTTGCACAGTTCTGATATATATGAATTTCTGACACTATATTTTATTTTATTTAAAAAAAAATTTTATCCTCACCCAAGGACATTTTTTAACTGCTTTTACCTAGAGAGGAAGGGGGAGAGAGATATACTGACTGGTTGCTTGCTGCATGTGCCAGGACCGAGAATTGGACCCAAAACCTAGGTGTATGCCATGACAGGGAATTGAACTTGCAACCTTTTGGTTACAGGACAATGATCTCACCAACTGAGCCACACTGGCCAGAGCTCTAACATCATATATTAGTTAAATAATACCACTCTTCCCACAACATGTTCAAATTTCAGTACAAACTTGGCTGCTAGCTCTTCAGTCCACAATAACTATGTAGATAAGAGATCCATCATGATCAGTGATCAATCATGTCACTCTCTTAAGGTCTGTTAGTGACCAATCACTGAGCATGTTACTCAGCTCCACACAGACAGGAAAGCACGTAGTTGTGTCACCTCCTCATTTCCCAGTGGCAAACCCACAGGACAGCTTGCAAAAATGGATAACTGAAAGAGGGAACTGGCCAGCAAAGATGAAAATGCAGCAAAAACACAAAAAGCAATAATAGTAAAAGTGGAATTTGAATCAAATATAAATGGAGTTATAGAAAAAAATAACTGGGAATTTCAGAGACTCTAAATCTGCAACCAGCTGAGCTTAGTTAGTGGAGGCGGATATATGGACTTAAGAGGGGGATACAGTTATGATGAAAAGGATGAAGAGGTTCCTGAGGAAGTGATAGTAGCAAAACAAAGGAATTCTCAGAGATGTTTCACAATATTGAAAGTACCAAGGATGAAATGTGGAAAGCTGATCCAAACTCAGAAGTGTGACACTTGGCTAAGGTGTGGAAAAGGTGCCCGGTCACACTATCAAGGGGTACAAGGAGCAAGCACTGTTCGTACTCTTGATAAATTATTTTACAAAGGAATAAAACACTTCAGTTCTCAATGTTTTAAATTACAGTGTACTAAGTAAATATTAGCTTTATCACTTTTTATTTTCCCTATACATTTTTAACCAACAGTAAGGGTTAAGAGTATGTTTTCACAAAAAAATTTAAAGGTTACAGAGCAAATTTTCCCCATTAATTATTAACATCAATGTGCATGGTTTTATAGTCCTGCACTGCCATACAAAGTGAGGATTGCCTAGAGTTTCTAATGTCCTCTGATATCTTCCTTAACTCATAAATTACTTATATATGTGCTTTTAAAATTCCAACATTAGGTTCCTTTATTTCTAATCTTATTGCATTGGGGCCCAGGGCTATAGCTTGATAAGCAGTTCTTCAGTATTTGTGGAGATGTCCTTTGTGACCCTGCTTGATAAGAATGAATATCTACCATCACTACATACAAAGTTTACATACATGTGTGCACACACACACACAGATCAAACATGCTAACAGTGTGTTCAGACATATCCTAATTGTTTTTGCCTGCCTGATAGATTGGTTTTTGAAAGAACAGTAATAAAATAGACTACCATGATGGTGGATTTGTGCACTTGTTACAGATCAAATTCTTAGGCAGTTCAACACATGCTTATTGAATGAAAATAAATTTAGAGCAATATTTCTATTCCTTTGGCACTTCTTATGACTTAGTACAAAACTATATGCAAGACAAATATTTGAATCCTGGTTGATTTAAGAGATCTTTTCAAGAGCAGAAAACTGTAAGATCAATAACATAACACACTTACTACAAAAGGTGTAGGAACATATCTTGAAAAAAGGTATACAGGAACATCTTTGGCCAGTAAGACTGCAGCAGTGAGTTTAGCAAGCCTAAAAATTAAAAAAAAAAAAAAAAAAGATTTCACTTAGTCTTACCATACTCCTTAAAAAGCAACCTTCTGCAATAAATGTTTCATATTACAATTATTATGAATACGGAGTAGCCTCATACAATGAATTCTTATAATCACTGGTTATTTAAGCTTCATGCTCCAACTTATAAATGTTAAGTGAGATTTTTTTAAAGGAGCTGAACAAAGAAGAGAATTGACACTTTAATTTCTTTCTTTTTCCTCATTCATATTTTGATGATTCTTTTACTATGAAATAAAACCTGGAAAAGGCAAAAAGAATAGAGAAAAATGAAATAAGAGACTTTAATAAACATAATATGAATAATTACCCCCTGAAAAAAAAGTATCAGTATATCATGATGATCCATGTGTAAAAATACCCTAAAACTAATCAAATAAAACTATGAGAAAATATAAGCTATATCATTACTCCTGTGTTAAAATATAAAGTCATAAAATAAGTCGTAATATCATTCTAAATATACTTACTCTAAAAATTTTTAAATGTTACTCCTTTCTATAAAAGCTAAAGCTAATCTTTGAAATGCTTCTATTTTAGCTCTAAAATAAACATTAGCATGTGATCACATTTCTGTTTGACAGTTTCCTGTTTCAGAAATCCTACTAGATAAAAAAAATGTTTTTTTCCCCAACCATTTTAATCTCTGAAACAATTAACACTGTACCTCTGGCTGCTGCAGCTGCTAGTTACTTGCCCCCGGGTATCATACCCCACGACAAAGCCCCTCTGCTTGAAGTCTGAGAAACATCTCTCAAGGTATTTGTACATCCCCTGAAGCAGATAAACACAAAACATTAGTTCCTGACTAAAGCCTGCAGTTTCCTGTGACTTAAAATCTGTTATTTTATGTGTAGTGTGCAGCTCTTGGGCTCATAGGGATCTGGCCTCCGCCTTTATGCCCTGGTTTACCAATGTGGGAACAATACAGATCAATCCTCAAAGGTGAGATGACTAACATTTTCTTCCTGGAGTTTCAGACACATTTGATGCAGAAAAATATCAAGTAACCAACTATTAAACCCAATATGATACGTAAAACACGAGGAAAAAAAAGAGGGGACATAAGAGTCAGTAGCTAAAACAAATTGTTAGAAGAGCTAAAAGAAATTATTTCTTGACTTACGGCTCCAGAGAACAGAATTTTGACCACTTTAGGCCTTGCTAAATCATAAGCCCAAAGCTAACTAAAAGACTTCACATATTTATGATACAAACATTTTTCTTAGCAACGTAAACCACTATCAGAATATTTCTTATGATGGCTTATCCCATTTGTAATTCCTTGGTTTTAAAATCTCACAGAAAAGAAAATCCCATAAACTAGGAATATTAGCAGTCAAGGGTGATGAAAAATAATTGAAAACATCATGAGAATAGCTAAAACCATTTAATTATTCAATGGAAGATTTGCTAACTTTAACACTTTCATTTTTAAATACAACACTTTATATTGTCACAGTTCTTTAAAACTACTTTCACAAATGTTGCCACATTTAACCTTTACAACCCTGAAAAGAAAGAGATGCAATACCATTTCCATTTTTGTCTATCTTTCAACATCTCTTCAAAAAGGAAACAGAATAAGATTGATGATCCACTTAATGACTTGCCCAAGCCCATTCATTCAACTAAAACTAAGTTATACTGATTAATTAAAGACCTATATGGCAAGCAATGCTAAATAACTATGTGGCAGCAGCAAATGAGGCCCCAGAGACTTCTGGGTCCTTCTTCCACGGATCTTTCAAGAATAATTATTCTTCCTGACATATTCTCTTAGAGAGAGAGAGAGAGAGAGAATGTTCAAATTAGCTAGTTTCACTCACTTATTTCTAATGATTATACTATCCTAAAACCTCATAGAAACATATTATTCTATTATTCTCTAGTATGAAAATACATTTTATCTGATCCCCTGTACTCGGATTCTTAAGAGGGCGAGGGCTGAAGAATCAGACTCCATCTGGCTTTTCCACTCACACTGAACTCCTGTGAAAATCTGCACTTCTATAGGAAATGACTTTCAAACAGCTCCTCCGCCCCTTTTGTAAAGTCAAGGGATCTTCATTTAAAATTAAAGGTTACAAAGAAACTCCATATATAAAAAAGACGAAACAGAGGCACTTCCGGATGAGGAGCCAGGGGGAGGGAGATGGTGTGTATTCTGCCTCTTCAGTCAGCTTGCCATCTCTCCTTCCCCATCCCCTGCCTCAGCCCTTGGCTCTGGAGGATTCCCTCAGAACAAGGCTAAAGATGACTTACTGTTTGGCAGCATCGGTTAGAATTAGGACTGCTGAACATTTCTTTAGTCCAGAACTAATTTTAGTATATGCTAAATGCATTTTGGCTTCAAGCAAAAAAAAGTATAGTTCCTTGAAGCAGAGATGATTCATTGGAAAGAGAAGTAATTTGCTTACAAAATAAGCTACATAAAATGGGGAGAAATAAAATATATAGTATCATGTCCAACACTGTATTAAAGAACTCTCAAATGGATATGGATGACCATGTGAAAGGAAAATATTTTAATCGAAATTTTCCAAATAATCTGGTTAACCTTTATCAATGGCCATATGCCCAAATGAGTAATCTATATTTGTTTCTTTTATTCACTGGAAATGTCAATATTCATTTCCTGGGTGTTAAATGCAAAGTAACACTGTCAAGAAGTTGACAATGGCAACCAAAATAACACTTAATCAGAAATTTACTCTGTGACCTTGAATATACAGAAGTAACTTCTAAAATAAATCAAAGGTCAGTATTCTACATTTTTTACCTACAAGAGTACCTTCGTGGATACTAAGGTTTTATTTTTCTGTTTTAGAAAGGCACTACACCTAATTTATAAGGCAAAAAAAAAAAAAGAATAGAGTGATAAAAAGTGTACGTATAACGCTTATAATACTTACCTGTGTTGACTGTATTACTGTAAGGTCATTGATATAGCAGAACCCCGCCCCCATAGCAGAACGGAGGCCTGCAGTCCCAAACGTCATCCGGCAGCAAAGACGATCTCGCAGCTCCTTGTTCATTCCATTCCGTAGCAGATTTTCAATTTGCTCTTTTGTTTTGGGGTTCTATAAAAAAGAAATACTAAACTTAATCAGGGTCACAAGCAGAGTCCTAATATGAAGTGTTTCTGAGGAGCTAATACTATGCATATATCACGAGTTTCTACATTGACTATAAATTCCATAGTGCTACTTAATATTAGTATGCATAATAAAATAGTACCTGCCATTTACTGAGTCTCTAAAGGAGCCAAGGCTCCATTAAGAGTGATTTATATTATCTCTAATTGTCACAGTATTATTTATAACATATTCAAGAATGTTTTTAAAACAAATTGATAAGATCTACAAATCCAAAGTAAACCTCTCAGTCAAAAATGACATCAACTAGAGTCTATATTAAGTTTTAAAGCAAATATAGAAGCTACTGAGTACATGCCATAAAAACATGCGTACCCAACTACCTACACAGAACTCTGCAATTCAAAATGACCACTTAAGCCTACTGTTTTTAAAAATCACAGAAAACCATTCTATTTCACCTATACTAAGAGTTGACCATAAAAAGGTCTTAGGTGATATATGTGGACTTATTTAAGAATGAGAATGACAATTCAGTCCAAATGTGGCTTGGGAGACAGGACATGCCAACGACTATATTTTAGGATTCTGTGTTTCATCAGCACATATTTAAAAGTGGAAAAGGTTAACAGATGATAGGCAGAATTCCCTTAAAAATGGTAATCAATTACTCCCATAATGGGAATACCTTCAGTTGATAGCAGAGAACATTTTCTAAACCTCTTTATCCTCCACAGTGCCCAACCTGCACCTTGTACACAGAAGATGTTTAATATGTGATGATCTTGCAAGTAAATATTAGAAAGAGAAAATAGTAGAATAAATTTCAGTTGTCATGCAATCAAACATAAGAACTCCCAATTGAAATGAATTTCCTAAATAAGTGAATATATATATTTTAAGATAGAGGCCTATGTACAAAGTATTTCATGGGGTTTTTTGAGGCTAAATTAAATCAGAAATATACACATTATGCCATCACCCTGAAATATTACTTTGTTTAATTATCACTACATTTTCAGTACTGAGAATAGAGCCTGGCACTCAGGCGTGTGGCAGACTCCGGCCAGCAGACTTCGCCTGTTGGGACAAGTTAAAAACTTGGGTAAGAGGCACTCGTACACATTGGTGGTAGAAGAATAAACTGGTATACCCTTTCTGGAGAGCAATTTGGCAATACCTATTATATTTTTAAATGGACATAACTTGACTCATCGATTCCATTTCTGGGAATTGATCCCATGCAAATACTTGCAAACATGTCTGAAGAGGTGTGTGCTAGAAGTAATTCCCTGCTTATAATAGACTAAATAAATTAATTAATTAAAGCACCATAAATGCCTATCAGTAAGAGACTGGTTAATTAGTTTAGCTTACCAATCAATGAAATACTATCTGGCTGTTATAAAGAATGGTGTGGTTCTGTATATACAGTGATAGAAATATTTTAAGTGAGAAAAAAGGGCAAGGGGGTAGAACACTGGCAGGATAGTATACTATTATTTATATTTAAGAAAAAACATAAATCAAATCTTACAAGAACTCTTTCCTAAAAGGATAAAAAAGAGGTACACTCATCAATTCCTTTATTTGTCTAGCTTAACTCTGATAAAATCACCAGACATATAATTAGAAAGAAAAATCATAAAGCTCACTGATGAACACAGGTATAAAAATCTTAAATAAAATATTATCTTTTCATATGTCTGTTGGCCATCTGTATGTCTTCTCTAGAAAAATGTCCTTTCATGTCTTCTGCCCATTTTTTGATCAGATTATTTTTTTGTTATTGAGTTGTATGAATTTCTTATATTACAGGGTATGACACAAATAATGCCCCTTTTATTACAAAATCATAAGCATGTAATTCTGTAATATAACAATATCACACTCAAGCACACAACATGACATTTTAGGCGAAATGTTCAAATTGCTGTGAGTCTCTTGCAAGGCATTCATGTACCCTACCAACCACACTCAAGCAAGCTTTCCTTCTGCCGAACCCTGTATTTTGGATACCAATCTCTTATTGGATATACCATTTGCAAATATATTCTCCCAGTCAGTAGGCTGCCTTTTTGTTTTGTTGAAGGTTTCCTTCACTGTAAAAAAGCTTTTTAGTTTGACACAGTTCCCATTTGTTTATTTTTTTTCTTTTGTTTCCCTTACTCAAGGAGATGTGTCCACAAAGATATTACTCAGACTGATGTCAGACAGTTTACTTCCTATGTTTGTTTTCTTGAGTTTTATGGTTTCAGGTTTTACATGAAAGCAATTCTACCCATGTATTAATCCAGAGAAAACTAGAAAACTAATTTGAAAAGATATGCATCCCTATGTTCACTGCAGCATAATTTATAATAGACAAGATATGGAAGCAACCTAGGTGTTCATCAATGGATAAATAAAGATGTGGTACATGCGCACAAAGGAATATTACACAGCAATAAAAAAGAATGAATTCTTGCCATTTGTGAAACATGGAGGAATCTAGGGGGTGTTATGCTAAATGAAATAAATGGGCAGAGAAAGACAAATACTGTAGGGTTTCACTTATATGTGGAATCTAAAATCAAATCAAAATAAACAAAACAAAAACAGACTCATAGAAACAGAGACAAAAGGGATGGTTACCAGAGAGGGTTTGTGGGAGGGGAGCTGGGTAAAAGGGGAAGAGGAATTTAGTTAATAATGTAAGTTTACACAGTGACAGATGACTACTAGAATTAGTGAGGTGATCACACTGTAAAGTATAAAAATGTTGAATAATATACCTACAACTAATAAAACCAATATAAGATTGTATACCACTATACATAAGTAAAAAATAAATGTATCAAACCAAATCCAGCCATATATAAAAAGAATAATATATCATGACAACATTGGATTTTATACTAATATACAAGATTGGCATAAGATTCTAAAATGAATCACGGTTATCCACAGCATTGACAGGTTAAAGAAGAAAAATCATATAACAATCTCAACACATTCAAAGTGCCTGATAAAGTTAAACATTTATTACAAACAAGGACTATATATGAATTCAGTGTATGTGTGCTAAGATCTCCCCAGACATCCTTTTAACCAGTTGGCTCTTCTCACTTCCGGCTGCTACAGGCACTACTGCTATGAGCTCACACAGGGGCAACCTTCGCTGCAGAACTGCCCCGGGGCAATCAGAGCCAGCTTGTACAGAGTACACGAAGGTTATACACACCTTCTCCCAGGGCCAGCAGCCAATGACTGTTTAGTGCAAGGCTGTGCAATCAACGCTTCAGAGGGCCAACACATCAAGTTGAGATTAAACTGCACCCCCTACATCATTGCTTAGTTCTTTCCCTTCCCTATCCTGATTCCCTCGCTCCCTCACAGGTACCTCCTGAGGGCAGTGGTTTTAGAAATCATTTGCCCAAGAATCCTCATCTCTGCTTTTAGGGAGCTCAACCTAAGATACATATATGTAAACATACACAATTGACCCTTGAACAATGCAGGTGTCTGGGGTGCCCAACCCCATGCTGTTGAAAATTGGCATACAACTTTTTGACTCATCAAAACTACATCAGTGGGGAATTGGTTCCAGGACCCCTGCAGATACCAAAATCTGTGGATGCTCAAGTCCCTCATATATGAAAATGGCACAGATCAATTCGGGTGGCCCTCCACATTCACAGATCCTAAACTGAGGATAAAAAAACCAGAAGGTATAAAGGGCCAACTGTATTTACTGAAAAAGACCTGCATGTGCAGTTCAAATCTATATTGTTCAAGGGTCAACTGTATATACATTTAACTTTTAGCACACAGGACTTCTAGTCAATTAGAAGAAAATTAGCAATTAGAAGAAAATTAGCAATTAGAAGAAAAGAAGAACCTACACTCCTAGCTAAAGCTGTAAAGCAAGAAAAAGAGACAAAAAGTACCAAGAACTGAGAAAGAAGAAACATAACGCATTTGCAGATGAAATGACTGAGCACACAAAAAAATCCAAAGGAGAAAATAATTTTTACAACAAATGTTACAACATAGTTGTGTCGTTGGGTACAAAGTCAATCTACAAAGGTCAACTGCATTTCTCTATACCAACAAACAAAACAAGAAGTAATTTTAAACCATCTGTTTCCTGTATGGCCAAGTAAACTCCAACAATATGTGATCTTCTCACAGGTAACAACTATAAACTCTAGACAAAATACAAACACAAAAAATCAAAACCAAAACCATAAAGACCCAAAAATACTGGAGAGTAGACAAATGCAAACAATTCTAAAAGGGAGGTGACACTTGGGAAAAGCGACCACTATAAGATGAGTTTCCTATTTTTATGGCTTTTAAGCAAGGGCAGGTAATATTAATCAGAGCCATGCACAGCGGCTAAAACACCAATGAAAATTTCCTGGTCCTTGGGCCCGAAGAACCAGAGCACAGGGGTGTACGTGTCCAAAAAGGAGACAGTTGGAGTGGGAGGGCCTCACATTCTGCACATCAGCTCTGGCCAAAGCTCTACCTGGCTCCTGTATGCGGGGGATAAACACCAGCTAAGGATAAAAGAATAAATTGAGATTTGAGCAGCCTCTCAAGAAATGGTTTGCAGTTCGAGTTCAACCAAATTAACTACCTGTGAAAACACACACAAAAAATCAAACACTCAATATTTAAAGGATGCTTGAGTTTTCAGTGGCTTTATAAAGCAGAGGGTTTTCTCCCCCAAGAACATGCAAATTACAAAAGTAAATACACTGTAGTATAATATCAACTCTCTTACTGTTAAGTTTTTCTTCATAATGATATATAAGTTCCTTGATATTTGGGGGAGAAGATATTTAAGTCATTTATTTTTATCTAAGTATGAATCTAATTTTACAGAAACCACAAATGGAACTTAATATATTTTTTTTATGAATTAGGACATTCTATGTAGAGAATGTCTTAGGCTGTATTTAATGTTATTGTATTGTTGACTTTGATTCTCCTAAGGA